CGTGATCATTGCGGATTACGTTGTATCCGGCCCGGCTTAGAAGATCTGATCAGGCGGTCAACTTCGTTGCTCACGCATTTTGACCGGTTTTTTTTAGTCTGCAAATACTTCTTGCACCCCACACATGTTGTGGTCGATCGCAAGGTTGCGAAGTAGGCAGTCTGTTATCTCTCCCCTGCAGTTCGAAATTCCTCATCGTACCAGCTTTTTTCTGGCATTGCCGAAATCGTTCGAGTAGCGGCGGTACGTACGTTTACGTATCAAGGATACGTATCAAGGTGCTGATGAGTTCTCTCAGAAAGCAGGTGTGCAAGCCGAGTGGAAAATCGTTTGGCAATCTGTTGTGATTACAGCTTTTCGACGTCGAACAAAAACTTTGCCGTACCCACACATGCCTCGCCTTATTAGTTGCTTTTTTTTTAGCTTTCTTTCCCAGCATGGCAACTTTAACCTTGCATTTGTATGTAATGTGTTTGTTAGTAGCTTTTGTGCAACTGTAAATTTTAAAATAATAATAAAACCACTGCAAGAAAGCAGCTTTCCCGTTTTGCACTGTTTCACGAGTTCAGACTGCAGCCGCTTAAGAAAACTCATCGTGGCATTGAAAAGTTCCAATATATTTTAATATTAAAAATTGTTTTTGAGTTCCAATATATTTTAATATTAAAAATTGTTTTTGAATTGTTGTCCGAAAACTTCGTTAATCGCCATAATTTCCTTCTCTTATGAAAAAAGCAGAAAAAACGCTTTTTTCGGGTTCTAAAGCAGACTATGTACTGCCTTAATTTTTATTTACGTATTGGGCTTTGTTTTGTGTTACTTCTCCTGTTTGTAAAAGCGGGGGTCTTTCTTATCTTCAGCGAAAGTATTGAATCTGCTGTTACTGTTAGGATAATAAAGTTCAACAGCTTCATTTCTGGATAAATTTTTAACTGCTTTTTTTATGTATATATTGTATAATTTTTCCAGTTGTCTTTGTTGTAGTTGTTGTTGTTGTGGCGCTTCACTAACCCCGCTTAGGCGCAGGTTTGATCAGTCTAAGTCGCCGAGGTCATCTAGTGGTAGGTCCAGGAAACGAGCTTTTTCGACGGGGTTGGGGCATGTGAAGATGTGGTTAGAGTCGTGCGGAGACTCTCCACATACAGGGCATACGTTGGGTATGCTGGGGTCAGTCTGAGTGGTGTCAGGGTCACGCGGGTCTCTCGAGGCAGCTCGAGCTCGTTGTCTGCTAAGGGTGGTGGTATTTCTCCGAGTACGTCATTCACTGGAAGGGAGTCCTTGAAGGTGTTGACAGACTCCTGGGGAATGGCGGTCAGTGCTTATCGGTACGCCGTCCTGTCCAGCGGTTATTGTATGTGTTGCTGGATTGTGTCCTTTAGGTCTAGTACTCCCTTTCTGATGTGCCTAGGTGAAGGTTCAGCCTCTATTATGGGCCTACTAGGGTGCTTCCTGCGGTAGCATCCCAATAGGAACTGCTTGCACAGCAAAGCATTATGTTCCTTAACTCGTAGCATAGATGCTTCCCTGTTCAAGTGATGCTCCGGTGACATCAGGAGGTTTCCTGTCGCGGTCCTGAGGGCGGTATTCTGGCAAGCCTGTAACTTCTTCATCTGCGTCTCGTTCGTCCCCGGCGCCCAGATCGGTTCAGCATAGTTTACGACCGGCCGCCCAATGGCTTTGTAAGTAGCCAGCAAAGTTTCTTTGTCTTTACCCCAGGTGCTGCCGGCTGGCGCTTTGAATATTTTGTTGCGGCTCTGGAGTTTTGCGGCAATTGCGGTCGTATGCGGATTGAAGGAGTGCACGCTGTCTAGGGTTATTTACCGTCGGAATTTTTGTGTAATCGACCTTCACATCTAGTTCGAGCCTGTATTCCTTCGCCCAGCTGGTGAAAAGGATAGACGAGGATTTTGTCGGTTGAGCTCGTAGTTGTCTTGCTGTGAAGAAGTGGGAGAGATCAGCGAGGTAGTCGTTTACTTTCGAGCAGAGGTCATCAATATCCTGGCTAGACGCCATTATCGTACAATCGTCGGCATACGAGGTTAGGGAAACTCCTTCTGGTGGTGGAGGGAGTTTCGATATGTAAAAATTAAACAGTATCGGGGAGAGGACACCACCCTGCGGAACCCTCTGCTTAATTTTTCTAGGTTTATGAGGATTCCTCAATGTCCGTTAGTAGCATTGAGTGATTGACCGTGTCAAAAGCTTTTGACAAGTCCAGTGTTACTAGGACAGTTCGCGCGCAGGGTCGGTTTTGGTTAAGGCCATGGACTATCTGGGTGTTTATGGCGTTAAGTGTTGTTGTGGTGCTGTGCACTTTTCGGAAGCCATGCTGATGCGCTACTGGTGAGATGGTGAGACACTCTACCCATTTTCTACACATCGGGTAACTTCAGGGTGGTCAAAGACAAATTGAGGATCCTCGTGAGAATTTCTGCTCCCGCTGGTCCAAGGTGTTTCAGCATCAGCATGCTTATTCCGTCGGGTCCGATGGATTTGGAGGCTTTCGCCTTGCCGATGACCCCCTGAACCTCCTCCCTGGAGAAATCAAGTACCGCGCTGGTGTTTGTCAGTTTGCGCATGCGGCGGGTTACACGTTGTTTCGCTTTGTCTACCGAGGGATGCAGTGTGCAAAGTCGGCTAAAATAGCTCGCGCATCTTCGGGACCGACGAGGCGCGATCACCGAATGAAATTTCCGCCCGGTCATCGCGTCTCGTCGGGTTACACAGCGACTTGACTATAGCCCAGAGCTTGGTTGCCCCAGAGGAGAGGTTGCAGGTCCTTAGGTGCTCCTCCCACTTTTTCCACTCATGATTGTTGACAACTCTTCGAATCTCCGCGCTTAAATCCCTGATTAGGGGATTCCAGGGATCGGAGCTTCGGAGGGTGTCGCGCCTGGATGCTAATACCGCCGCTTCTGTCGGAAAATTTGGGCGGATTTCCGCAATTCGGCCTGCCGGGATGAAACGGGCGGCAGCGGTCACGACGACCCTGCCGGGGCCGTCAGATGGAGTGGGAAACAAAGTCGGGAGGCCTGTCAATCGAGATATGTATAGGCAAGTGGTCCGATGCTAACGTCAGTATAGGTCGCCAGATTATACTGTTTATCAAACCATCACTCGCAATTGTTATGTCTTGCGAGCTTTGGCAATCACCCATAACTCTGGTGGGAGTGTTGTCGTTCATTGTGCAGAATGTCGAATCATCTATCTGTTCCGCCAGCTCCATTCCTCTACGGTCATTTGAAAGGCTAGAAAGCCAAAGATCGTGATTCGAATTAAAGTCGCCCAAAACCAAACGGTTTTCGCTCGCCCCTGAGTAGCGCACCTATATCAGGGGTGTATCCTGCTTGGCAACTTGTAACTGGAGGAATGTATATATTGAATATTTTGAGCTCAACATCGCCTGACCGGATAGCTATGCCCTGACATTCTGGGGTAGTATCCCTGCGGTCGATGTCGCCATCAATGGGACGATACTGCACGGTGTTGTGCAGGATGAACGCTCAGCCCCCACCGTGGTCTCGCTCGCGATCCTTGCGGACTATGTTGTATCCGGCCCTGTGCAGAAGATTTGATCTGGCGGTCAACTTGGTTTCCTGGATCGCTGCAGCTAAATTGTAGGAGTCGGGTCTGTCTCGCGGGAACGTTCGTGATTCGGGGGGTGAGGGAGTGATGCGTGGATGGTGTGTGTTGCTGCTGACTACCCGCGAGAGTTGGTTCCGCACGTTGGTGTTAGTTGGCGGAGGGTTTGTAGAGACATGCGGGGGCAGACTCCTACAGCACGGAGCAACATATGCATCGCTCCACTCACGGGTGGTGCGCAGGCCAGAGCATGTCCGAAAGTGACACCAGCCAGAGCAAAGGTGGGTAAAAGTGCTGAAGGCACTGCCGTGGAGGCTGGGTGGGGGGCGGTTGGACGCTGGCAGCATGACAGAGTATACACATTTCTTGTGTATAGCTTTGTGGATCGTTATCTTTTTGGTCAAAATTAGGGCATCTACAATGGTATTGGAATAACATCCTACATTGAATTACACGCGGAATGTAAAATGGTTCATTTAATTTTGTGCATTCTTACACTATGCCAAATTTCCTATTTTCATTGTTGTTTTAAGTTGCGCTCTTAGGTTTACGCTACTGATAATTTTGAAGTTTTTCATTTTACTTCATTTCAACGTATCTACAAGATATGCTAGTTTCAAAGTCGTCCATCTTATCAATTTTATTTATTGTCCATTAAAAGAATTGCTTAATTCGTTGTCATACCTTCCTTTAGTAACGTTTCGTTTATTTTTTTGTCCAAAGTAAAGATTTTCTTTATTTACATTCTTCATGAAGCTTGCTTGGCGTTTTCTTTGCTTAAATCTTTTTATTTATCTTTATATTAAAATGAACTAATATATCAAAATTCTCACTTTGAGTTTCTATAGGCATTATAGGTTTGTTATAATATATTTCATTCTGTATAAATTTAATTTAGCTGAAGCACTCATTTGTTTCAGAAGTTTCAGAAATTATTGTAGTTTTTAGATAGTCACACGGCAGAACTTAAATTTAAGTGCAACTAACTTTTTGTGTGTACAGTACAGCGCCATTCTCTAGCCAGAGCATACTTTAAGCAGTATTCGATTACTTTTTCAAAGTCTATCATTCGTCCTATTCCGAGGTGCTTATCTGTAATACTTTATATATTTGGTTTGGCACTTCAAAATGAAAGAATTATATTGATATCTAATATTTGTTGAGAAAATAATATAGCAGGTAGGTACTCACCTGTGATGATCGCACAAATGGAAAATGTTTTGTAAATGGTAAAAAAAGGGAATTATGATAAGAAGTTATTCCAATATTCAGGTTCCAAAATATATGCGGATGCGCCGAAAAATTATAGTTCGAAAAGCACGGTTTTACCATATTTGGATTCTTTAAACATATTTGTTGTTGCCTATAGTCCAAATATTTTGGTTTAATTTAAATGAGTTGGATGGAATCACCTTATAATACATATTTGTCACTCTTCGTAAGTATGATTCCCTTAAAATTTCTTCTGAATAAGAGATTTGTTTATTTTAACTAAATCGCAATAAAAAGAAACCGAATTTAAACTTTCTAATTTTCACAATATCAATAACAGCTTTAGGTACAGCACTTACTCATTCATTCTAACTAGGTCAAAAAGCCGACTTTAACTCAACTCTAATAAAGATAGAGTACACTTTTTTAAAACAACTTAGAGTCAGCTCTTGACTATGAAAATTAATATTTTAACTAAGTCAAAACAATTAAATCAATATTAACATAATTAATAAATTTAAAAACTAGTCAAAAAAAAATTAGAGGTTTAGACACCCTTACGAATTATAAGCTTATATAAAAATATATAACTTAGGACATACAATTTAAATGTTTTTTAATTTCGCTGTTTATTTTTGCTAAAAAAAATTCTTGTTTTTTTTTATTTACAGAATGGTAAATACAATGTATGTGAGAGTAGACCAAAGAAGTGCTATCGATATCTTATCAAAATTATTATTATGCGAATCTCAATATAAGGCCGAACTTCTTATCACTTATTTTTTAGTTCATTTAATAAGTGAGTTCAAGTATAAGCCAGTTTGATCACATAGTAAACAAATACAATCTGTGGATGAGATAGCTTTGTGAAACAATTACTGTGGAGGTCACTGAACTTGAAATTCGGAATCAGTTTTCGCTAACGACGAAATATTAAATTACAGCTAATGTTTAAACGGATTATGAAAAGTTACTGCTATGACTAAAAGCATGATACTACCCTCTATACTGAATTTAATTGTGTCAGCCTCGAAACATATGACGCTTAGTACATCAAAAAATAAACATAATGCAAATGAAACATCAGTCCTTCGAATACAATGTGTAGATTGTACGGAATGCAATATCGAGCGGCTGTATACTGAATGCGGATATGTGCCGTATAATAAAATTAAAAAATATACGTATAAGCACTGCAAATGTTTCTGTGGTAACTCAAGGGGTAGGAATATTGCAACACTGCCAGTTAATATACTAGAATTTCATACAACTAAAAATAAGCACTTCGTAAAGGAAAAAAGGCTGGATACAACTAGACCATACACTGTAGCCAAAAGTTCAATTTTATGGCTCAAACCACGTTACGATCAATTGTGTGCAGAAGCTGATAAAAATTATAGAGTTGTTGAGCGGCTGAACCATATACATAATAAATTGACTGAATTCAGTGCATTTTTACAGGATTGTAAAAGTTTGGAACTTTCGACAACATTATATTCTAGTACCATAATAACAAATTGTAGACATGAAATTACTGAGTGTCCCGGTAGGATTCACGGATATGAGAAATCACTACAATGCAAAAGTAGACTTAATGAAAACAACTACACTTGTGCCAACGACGTGTCTTCTAAAGATTTTTTTCGAATAAGAAATTCTGTGTTGGGAATAGCTACATCCAACAAAAAAGACTACAACGAGCTCAACAGTAAAAGCTCTGCAAGCAATCGTATGAGATCTCGCAGAAGTCTTTTGCTTGGAAATGGAAACCCGACAACTATGTGTAGCAATGCGATTTTGTACATACTCCTAATATTATTATTATCACTGCCACAGGTTCGTTGGGTGCATTCTTTGCTTACGGTAGAACCGAAATTTGATAGTCTTGCTGATGATGACTTCCCATCCAGTAGTGCCATTAATAATAATCCGCTCATAAATGTAGGCATGGTCAATGGTAGCGATAATCGGATCGCTATGAAAGTTGGCGGTTCGTCTCCCAGTGGCAGTGGTGGTTACATGGATAAGTTAAAGATGAACAACTTAGAGCGAAGTGTAGCAGCTGTACTTAAAAAGGTAGCATATGGCACAACGTCAACAACCAAAAGAAGTATTCCTGACAATACTTATACACCAAGCTTAACCACAATTGCCACACCTTTATTGACGACTTTAAGGTAAACATAAACAACTTATAAATTTCTATGTAAAATGTTTTGATATATGGCATTTCTTAGGTATGCCGAAAAGTCGACTCATCAACAACAAATAAATCTTCATCATAGAAATTACGAATTAGATTTGGAACGCGATCACGCCTTGCCTACTTCTGCACCCAATGCTGATATATTAAAAAGTAATAGTAATCCAACATATCCAAATCCAAATAGAAATCACAATCATGAACGCGAGCGGCATAGACATGTTATGAAAGCTACTCCTCCACCATCAAGTGAGTATTGCTTTTATAGGACTTAAAAATTTCAGACAATAAGTACCATAAAATTACATCAAATTACCCCAATATACGTTTATTTTAAATATATTTCAGTACCGAACATTCTAAAAAAAAATATTGGCCAATCACCCACCATACCAATGTACCCAGGCGATATTCCATCATATTCTCCGCCTGCCCGTTCGTTTTTTACACCTCCCTTACCACCAGAGTATCAGAATCCCTTTGCTGATAAGCCGACTCTACGCGGCACAAATAACGAAGGTATTATTTCTAATACAGGCACATACATAAATCGACGTCCAATACCGCCGCCAAGCTTAATGCCAGGTCATGAACGTATTCCATTCCGTCCTCCTGATTTAGCGGCGTCTACCGGTAGCAATTCCGCTAATGAAATTATAGTAACATCAAGTGGAGATACCAATAGTGCTCCCCACATATACAACGGTACAATTGCAGATGTGGAACGGAAAAAAGCTTTGAATACGCCATCACGAAGCATTGGTGGTTATGGAATGATTAATGTTGGATCTTCTAACACTGGTGAAGTCGTTCACTCTTTATCAAACGCAAATGATAACATTCAAATTTTGTATGCTAACACTGAATCAAGAGAGTCACCACCTCAAAATAGCAATCCTCCACAACAACTTAGCACAACAGGGCAGGAAGTTCTGCCTAGTATCCGCAGAATTTTAAGTGGATCTAATGGTAATAAGGGCGAAATACCAGAAGTACTTCTAAAGCACGCAACATCTCGGCCGATAGCTAATTATAATCAGCCTCCATCACCGCCGGTCGTCTTATTGGATGACAGTAGTGTGGTACAAAAAATCGAGGGGGGTGAAGATAACGGCATATTGGGTAGCTCGAATATAAACAAAAACAAAAATGGTTCAGCATTAAGCAGCGGAACAGAATTGTATGAAGCAGCGCGAATTGAAACGATGGAAAACAGATTTCCAGACGTCAGTCACCATTCGAATAGGGTCAATAGCAACCAAGGTTCAACCGATAGCAGTTCTACAACATCAACAGCAGCGGCAATTGGAAAAGATTTGGGTGCTGCTGTGGCAGCTGCGGCTACCACTTCAACAATGAGTAGCACGTCAGTAGCTAAAAATCCAACGTCATCAGCAACAGCTACCAGCAGAAATACTGAAAGTGGTGTCGGCTCGTCAATAGCTGCAGCCGCATCATCTGTTTCTACTTGGGCGGTTGCCTGGAATATCCATGTTTATTTTTCGGTCGTGCTTTTTACCATTTTGGTAGTTTGTAGCTTGTATAAAATACTTACCTACAATAAGTTGACACATCTTTTCTCCCAATCGTATTTTATGTGCATTCACCTAGTTTTAATTGTGATATGCTCATCACGTATTTTTTATTTATGCTTCGATGCCTACAATATTCATAGTACATTTAATTTGTTTGTATCCGAGTTATTACTATATTTACCTGCTACATTTTTGACCATTTCATTTTCAGTTCTAATACTTTTTTTGTTTTTAAAAGCATTGAATCATAAAAATAATCGATATTCTGCACTCATTCGTCCATTAACTGTTATGGTGGGCTGTGGCGTGCACGTTGTGCTCTGCATTACCCTGCATTATGTCGAGTCATACACGGTGCAAAACCAGCAGCAGCAGCAGCAACTGTTATATCAACAACAGCAGCAACATTTCCTTCAAAGGCGCCAGCAGCAACAACAAATTTTACAACAGCATCAACATCAGCACCTCCAACAGCAGTTCGAGGCGACCTCAACAACCAATTTTTTATCATCGGTAACGAGTTTTCATGCACATACCGCACTTTTGTTACAATCCGCAACAATAGGGTCATCTCCAAATTTGATAAGTAGTACAACACCTCCAAGAGTTCTATCGCTGATATGCCAGATTATTTACATATTTGTTTGTCTGTTTCTTGGGTTGCTATACCTTTACTTATATCGCATTTTGAAACGAATACTTCGTAGTAAGTCTCAAAACTACATACATGGGTATCAAAATCTCTCATATGCTATACACATAACTATTGCAACCGCCTTATTATTTGTTCTGTTAGCAGCTTTGCAAATATTTGGAGCCATTAGCATATCCACGACACGGCCACTATTACAACAACTAACAGCTGATATTGACTGGCTACAATGGGGCTACCAATTCTCTTTGCGGTTAATTGAAATTGCAATCATTTCATTACTCTCCTGGGTGGTGGGGTTGAAAACTAGCGGTGGCAGCAGTGGTGCTGGTGCTGCTGTAAATTTAGCGAATAATGCAGATGCACGTTATGGTGTTGCTGGTGGAAATAGTGGAAGTAATGTCGCATTTGCGAGTGGCCCGGCAAATCAAAATCGTGAGAAACATCCTCATCATAATTTCCATAATAACCATTCAAACGTGGCGGGTTTTTTTTTACCATGTACGTCCAGCTCCAGTCAGGAGCAGTTCGAGACTGATTATCCGGCGGTTTGTAATGCGAATACAAATCTTCACACTTACACAATGCGAACTGGCAAACTAATATATGATGACAGTTATGCATTGAATTCACTTTCTAGTGGCGCACAGCCGCAGCTGACTGGTATCGGAAACAACGCTATTCAATCGGGCTCAGGTGTGATCCGAAATGCAGGTGAATTTCATTTACAAACTCAACCGACTTATCAAAGACCGTATGATTCGGGTTCTATTAATAGTGCAATGGTTAATCATAATGTGAGTGAATATGGAACACAGAGTACGCTAGCTGGCGGTGGTGTTGGTCATTATGGCAATGAAGCGCCACAGTATGCAGACTATCTCACAGATGCTACTATTGATCATTATGAAAATCCTAACTTTGATTTAGGTGGCTCTGTAAGCGGGTCAGGTTTTGGTGTAGACTCGTCTAATCCTAGTGGAGTACAAAAACTCACAAAAACTTCTACTACTTCTACAACAGCTAGTAGTAGTGGTGACTCAGGTGCTTCCGCAGCGTCACAACAGCAAATGCTGCTACTTCAAAGCGATAGTTGCTATTCAGAACCCTTGCAAGCTCCTAATGCTACCTTTTATGATTTCAAAAATTTTGAAAGGCCTCAACTGGTGTCTGGTGTTGCCGCGCCATCTTCTGATTGTTGGTTGTCAGAATCTCATACATGTCAGCCGCTGTCGCGGGATGCCGACAACCATAAAAGTAAACGGGAAAAGAAAATCCATTCGACTTTAGATCGCAGCGCGTATGGGAACCCAGACCGACGAAGCTCGAATTCTACGCATTCATGTACCTCTAGTAATGGCCGCTATAGTGGATACAACTCCTTTGATCGTGGGTTATACAATGGAGTACGTAAAAGTGGTACTCTGAATAATATTGTTGGAAGCATTCATACACCTGGGACAGGCATTATACATGGCCGCAACTCATCTTCCTCATCACCTGCGTCATCCAAAACTTTATCTTTGGCACCGGAACGACACCATTATCAGAAGCAACAACGCAGTGGATGTGCTAACGCAAATGGGATACGCAAGCAAGATCGTGAACACGAGTACTTATTCAGTCGTTCATCTCTTGATCACAGCATCTCTCAACCTTCACATCAGCAACCAAATTCTGACGATGACATGATGTTATCTGGTAGTAATGTAGAACGCACTAATTTAATTGATAATGAAGATAATGGTTGTATTATAAATAGCAAAAACACAACATCCTTTTGCGGTGGCCGCAGCCAGGCGAATGATGTCAGTGTAATAAAGATCGACTCTACCAAACAAATGTTTGCTAAGACCCATTTGAAAAATAACACACATTCCAATATGCTTATTTGTCAAAGCAACTCTTCACCTTATACGTCCGTAGTTAATACATCAAAGCAACAAAGACAGGACGTTGCAGTAACAAAAGCTAATATTATCTTAGGTTCGTCAGACTCACATGCATCAAACTCCACGGCTTCAAATACATCTGCCACTTCTTCCACTTCAGGAAGCTCTAACAACCGTGGTGCAATGGTTGTAGCAGAACATGGCTTTGTACGTTTTCGCGCTATTGACGATATAAACAATGCACAGGGCATAGGCATACATAATGCTTCTATACTCAATTAGTTTATTAATAAGTCGTTAAACCATCCATACATCCACACATTATTGTCACTTGCACTGAACGTCAGCATTAATTTTTAATTCACTCATACCATACGTTATATATAGAAGAAACGTAAGCAAGCATATTGAAGTGAATCACGAAAATTGCAGGATAAAATTACTATTACCTTTCATTCCTCATTCGAAGATGCATTCAAATAATAGCATTCAGGAGTGTTACAGAATCAAGTTGTTGTTGGAATCGGAATGCTGTTGTTGTTGTTGTAACCACAAAAATATCCCCTAAACTAGTTTTTGGGGAATGTTACGAGAGTCATAGTCCGCTATTCGACGTTGCCAATGCGTAAAGGACCTTATCAGATGCTGGCATCGTCCACGCTTTTGCGGGTATGATAACCAACCTTAGGGTTTGGTTTTCGTTCGCCGACAAAGGACTTTAATTTTCAATAATAGGCCAAAAATGTCAATATCATCGGCGTATGCCAGTTGATGTACACTTTTATAGAAGATTGTACCTTCTCTATTCAGCTCTGTAGCTTTTATTATTCTCTCCAGCATCAAATTGAAGAAATCACATGACAAAGAGGCCTATTTTCACTTACTGGTAAAGTAAATTTTTTTACTTATTTTTAACACCCGAAATTGAATTTGGTATGCTGGCGAATACTTTGGCAGCACTCCTTTCTTCCTTCATGCCAAAATACATTTGCCAGTTGGCAAAGTAAAAAAAAAAACAATATTCATATATATTTTGCATTTCGTTTGTTGGTGGAAAACTAATTTTCCCGGCTTTTACTTTTATAATCAAATTTGAAATATAGTGCAGTGAATACAGAAGGCTGGTTCTTTGCAGTTAGACAATTGCTCCCAACGAACTCTTGATATGACTCGTGGAAAAAGGGATTTGGCTGTTGAGAGACACCTCAAATAAAGCGGCGGAGATGTCTTCTGTCAAAAATAATTTTTGATATAAAAAATATATATATAATTGAACGTCTACTTAAAACTCAAAATAAATTGTTTTTGTTTTTTCAAGGCGAAAATACTGACTAACAAACTAAAATGGTCACTTTTTATCTCGTAAACTTCTTGAAATTCGTCTTCTTCCACTTTTCTTCATATTCAATTAGTTCTAGACGTAAATATGTTTATACATTTGCCTTATCATTCTTTCACAAATTAACAACACAAAATCGAACAGCTGATCTTTTGTTTCCTCCTATTGCGCCGGTAACAAAACTTGCAGGGTGTCTGAACTCAGAATACGAAATTGTAACAAAATGTACTGAATGGTAATGGACACTGGTAATGTCCAATCGGTTTGTTGACGGTGGGTTTCAGTCTTTCACAAAAAATGCTCGATACGACCTTATATGCAATGTATGCCGTATTTCAATAGCTCGGCCGATAATTCATCGGTCCCCGCCGCTTTGTTCTTTCTCAAGTGGGCGATTGTTATACGGACTTCTTCATAGTCGGGTAACGGAACAACTTTTCCATCATGATCAATTGAAGTTTCAGGCTCACCATATCCGGATGTATCATTGCTTGCTCCATAAATTCAGTATACTTTGGGCATACGTCACTAGACCACCCTTCTGGGTCCTACAAGAGTTGGAGGGGGGTTACACATTCCGATTATTGATTTACATATCGATTTCATGTTTGAAACAGAAAATGTTACGCTTTTAGGTGTTACAGAACCCGTTTTATCGTTTGAAGTGTCAGAATTAAACCGAGCGGTTATTCGTGAGAGAATTGTGTGCAAACTTGTTTGCAGGCGGAAATTTAATAAAATTTTAAGTCATGGATTTTACAACCAGTAATTCGTTCACTACGGCACTTTGGAATAAAAATGGTCACGAGCTCTCCGCTTTTCATTGTCTTTGTTTATTCCTAACTTTATTCAGCGTAGGCAAATCAAGCATTCAAAAGGCTTTAGCGCTTCTGGTATAACCACTGAGACTCTAGGTTGCGCTAAGAAGATATTTGCGTCATAACCCACAGACCGTTGATGGGAGCCTTCAGCCAAAAACCGCAGTCTGGTATGGACAGCCTATGTCTATAAATCATCAGCATATGTAAGAGTAGAATTCAAATTGCATTAGAGTCGATTTTTTAACATAGTTTCAAACTGTTATTGATTCTCAATTCCAATAAACAAGCAAATCTGTGTCGATTTTTATAACATCCCTGATAATGTTGTTAACGTATAACATAACCCATAACAGTTAAGCATTTTGTGCCACGGACTTGGAAAACGATTATTTGAAAACATTTTATTTGAACATCTTTTATTTAAATTTACAACTTTTTATTTCAGTACTAAATTTTATCGAACACGTGTGGGTAAATCTGACTTTTACTTTTCGTTTTGTATTTGAAGTAGTAAGAAAATAAGGCAGTTTCTTTCTTTATCAGTAAGAAATACTAAATTTGATAGCGAGAAGTAGAAACATGTTTATGACTTTCCTTAGGCTAAAATAAGTAGTCACTAAGATTGTATCCAGAAATAGATATTAAATTTTGAGCATAGTATTTTGTTAAAAGAAAAAAGTAATCAAAATATAAGCGTCATCTTAACGAAACCAAAACAAAGATTTGCTCAAATTAACTTTAGAGTAAATTTTTTAACGATGCACATATTTAGTAAAGTAATTACAAAAATTTCTAAAAACTCTCATAAAATCGGTTACAACTTTTTCATTAATCTCAGAAGACACTTTGAAAGCAGTGTTACGAAATAACAAATAAAAGAATTATGTGTATGTATCTAGTAAAAACATTGCAGGCGTAGAAAGTTTTATTATTTCAGAAACTAAAAATTCCATTATTTCTTTCCGTTAATATTCTGTTTGCCATGGAGTATACAAAATTGTGAATGTGGATGTATATTTATGGCAATAAAAATAAAAATAAAATTTGAACTGACTAATTAAGGCTTTTAATTTTTTTGCATGTAAAATACGAAACACAAATCTTATATGTTGTATTCATAAGCTGTGCATATTTGACTTTTTTTTTTGGCATTTATCGATTTATATTGTTTGTAGTAAAGTAAATAATGCAATTTGTATACTGCGCAATATGTACATGATATACAATCGTATCTAAATCCTATCTAAATTTTAAATTGCACAAATATAAATAAGGTATCATAAATTAATATTATAAGTTGCTAGAACTAAGCTAATGTATAATACCATTGCACACTTGCGAACATTAGCATTAAGTAAATAAGCTTCGATTGGCTAAGCAAAAATCTTGAAAGTATTTAAATAATTTTATATATAACATATATGAAATATAAACTCCTTAATTATAAGAAAAAAAGTTTAATTAATTACACCATAACTTACTATACTGGCGTAGACGTCGCTTGCACGATTATAGCCGATTTACAACAATGCGCCATTCGTTTCTTCTTTTTTCTGTTTGGCGCCAATTGGAAATACAAATTACAGCCAGGTCCTTCTCTACCTGGTCTTTTTAACGGAGTGGAGGAGTATTCGCATCCATACGGATCACATGATCTAGCCAGCGTATCCGCTGCTTCTTGATTCGCTGTACTATATCAATGTCGCCGTATAATTCGTACAGCTCACCATTCCAGCGTCTGCGGTATTGGCGGCTGCCAACGCACAAAGGACCATAATTCTTACGCAAAACCTTTCTCTCGAAAACTCCTAACGCCGTCTCATCAGATGCTGTAATCGTCCATGCTTCCGCACCATATAGCAGAACGGGAACGGTGAGAGATTTGTAGAGTTTGTTTTTCATTCGTCGCGAGAGGACTTTACTTTTCAATGCTGGTCCCAGATATACGAAGTTATCTACTACTACAAAGTTATGACTGTCAACAGTGACGTGGGAGACAAGTCGCGAATGCGATGACTGTTTTTTTTTGATGACAGGAGATATTTCGTCTTGTCCTCGCTCGCTACCAGACCCATTCGCTCCGCTTCTTTACCAAGTTTGGAGAAAGCAAAACTAACGGCGCGGTTGTTGAGCCCGATAATGTCAATATCATCGGCGTACGCCAGCTGCTGTACACTCTCATAAAATATTGCACCTTCTCTATTTATCTCTGCAGCTCTTATTAGTCTCTCCACCATCAAATTTAAGAAATTACTCGACAAAGAGTTACCTGGCTGTAAGCTTCGATACACAGAGGCTCATGCGTATCTTCGCTGCAAGAAGATAATGGTCCGAGTCGATCGGGGTTATATTAAGCTCAACCAAGCTGTTCAGATGTGATTTTCATCGTCGATGTTAAAAACATATAGTGGAAAAAAATAATTATCATTTATCCTGAGCCATTACAGGTCTGGGCGGACAATAGCTACCTCAAGTTTGCGCCGTTGTAGTGGTTGTTCACTATACCCAGCAAATATTTTCATATTAGTTAGTTTTGTGAGAATTTTTCTCGAAAATAGTGATTTGGCGTTGTCCAAGTTTCACAGCCAAACGTTATGTTTGCCTTAAATAGTTTTGTACAGCAGTTCTTTTGATTACCTTGAAAAGCACGTTAGCCGATACTATTTATTAGATTTCTTCATTCGGGATGCATTTGTTGTTGGGTATCAAGCCGAGTATAGTAGGTACGCAATTTTTAACCAAATAATAAAATGGTTTCGAAGAGGCAATAATCCCTTAAAGCTGGACAACTGGGCAAACCTTGACGATGAATCATGTTCCAAACTGCATCGGTAAAAATATTGATGCGCAAACAAACGCGAATTGCGCATTATAAGTTCTTCACAACAATGGCCGACGTCGGAGAGTCGGTTTATTGCGCTAATTATAATTTTTTTAAATATTATATTACTTATATTTTGATTTGTTTCATATTTTAGTCATTTCACGGAAACGCAACTTATTTGCACGTAAAGCAGTTCAAAATATCAGAGTTTGCAAAATATTGTTGCAAGGCAATGACGTTTTGGAACTTTGCGTATACACAACAAAGAAGTATCGCGCAAATGACGCATGTCAAATTTTACATAAAAAAGTCGAATGGAATATTTATTATTTATGTCAGACATAAATATTGTCACCTCCACTTTTTTTATTTACAATATGTATTTGCGCATCTACATACGTACATACATATGTATACCTACAGTGGCAGTTGGTCAAGCGCCTACCAACAACCACACACGTCGAAACAAACTACCGCTCCAAAAAGGAGATGACAAAAACTAACAAAGCTACCGGCCAGCTTAGTGAATACGGCGTGGGTCGCTGGCTACATACACTAACAAAATCCAATGGGGAGAAAAACAACACCAAGTGAATTTTGCTAACGCGGTAAACAAATCGCAGGACAACAAGAATTTAACAGCATATTCGAGCTACTTAAAACAAAAATCAAAATATGTTTTTGGGTGCACCCGAGGTGTGGTCCAACCAAACTGGTTACGAACTCACTCGCACTACTCAAGTGCTGCCGGGGGTAACTTTAACCAGCCTGTATGACTGAGCTCTGGGCAACTCTCACGACAGCCGGTTCTACGCACCGGAGTTGACCCGGATTTTATCCGTCCAAGGGCTGTCACCCTTTCGGCGACCTAACCCCGTTTAGGTCTACAGGTAACCTTAGTTTAAGTACGTCAACGGAGCAACACCTCGCAGCTGGGTTGCTCCAAATCCTTCTGATCAGGGCTGGTGTAGAAACCAACCCTGGACCGACCAACCTCCACCCCCATCCCCACCCACAACCTGCTCCTCATCCTCCTCCCGTGCGAGGGCTACCCAGCAGCTACTAGTCCCCCGCACTGTCTGTTCCGTGTGTCAGATCATAGTGCGTCGGAACGTGACCTCAGTCAGATGCAACTTCTGCTCTGGCTGGTGTCACTTTCGGACGTGCTCTGGCCTGCGCACCACCCGTGAGTGGAGCGATGCGTACGTTGCCCCATGCTGTAGGAGTCTGCCCCCGCATATCTCTACAAACCCTCCGCCAACTAACACCAACGTGCGGAACCAACTCTCGCGGGTAGTCAGCAGCAACACACACCATCCACGCATCACTCCCTCACCCCCCGAATCACGAACGTTCCCCCGAGACAGACCCGACTCCTACAATTTAGCTGCAACGGAATCCAGGGAAAGATTGACGAGATAGTCGACTACATGAGCCGAGAGCACCTGTAAATTGCTGCGATCCAGGAAACCAAGTTGACCGCCAGATCAGATCTTCTGCACAGGGCCGGATACAACATAATCCGCAAGGATCGCGAGCGAGACCACGGTGGGGGCTGAGCGTTCATCCTGCACAACACCGTGCAGTATCGTCCCATTGATGGCGACATCGACCGCAGGGATACTACCCCAGAATGTCAGGGCATAGCTATCCGGTCAGGCGATGTTGAGCTCGAAATATTTAATATATACATTCCTCCAGTTACAAGTTGCCAAGCAGGATACACCCCTGATATAGGTGCGCTACTCAGGGGCGAGCGAAAACCGTTTGGTTTTGGGCGACAAACCACTTTTCTCCGTTTATAAAAAAATATACCACATAATACCACTAAATTTTTAATTTTTTTTTAAGCAAATCGTACGCCTGCGTAAAAAGATGTTCGCATTTTTGTAGATTACCAGAATCTGATCCGGCACGCACTTACGAGCCAGGCCGCAAGCTACGCGTCGGCCTTCAAAATTCTCCTGCGAGTGTGTATTGGTGCCCAATCATTTGGCGCCGCCCCCATTACCCAAAGGGACCGGGTTGTATAGCGCACGCCACCATGGCACAACAAGTACACTGTAATAATTTTTCCCCTCGCCGCATTAAAGAAAAAGGCGACACCCCTTTTTACGGAATTCCCGCGCAAAGCATTCCGTTGCCTAATATTTGTTAGTGGTGGAACCATTTTGGGGAGCATCTCCTTTTGGAGACTTATACCACTGGGTAGGAACACACCGAATGCAACCGTGCCATCAATCTATGACTTCATCCTATTTGCCGACAGATGTCACTGCCAACGCTTGGAGTGAAAGGAACCTTAGGCAAAACAAAGGAAGTGAACAAACATACACAAAAGAAGTTTTTGTTGCGGTCAGTACGCGACAACTCCTCCCCTTCCTCAACGAAAAGGAAGGAATGTTCCTATCATAACCTGTTATTTCCTATATGGCTTCAACTCTTAAACGTTCCAAGTCCCTTTGTCTTTGCCTAAGTCATCTGTCAGTGTGTATGTCCACGGTGACACTCTCTTCCTAACAATAAATAAATATAGGGCCTACATACTTTGGAGGTAACTTCGCTACGTAAGAATTCGCTGCATCCGACAGCATAAAATTTTTCCTCTAGACTAACTCTCCTGGCATGTACTGTACATCTCGACGTCTGATATTGTAATGGGTCGCAAGCTTCTCACTCGACTGCTCTAACCTAGATGTTGATTCCTAATCTGCTCGAGCCTCTTTGCTCGCTCCTGACAAGTTAATTTCTCTTTATCTCCTAAACTGTCTATTAAGCCCCTACTGCCTTATAGCGCCATTTTCCTGCCAAAACTCGCAAAATATGGCGTAGCTCCTAACACTTCGTACTGCGGTGTCCTAATGCAGCATGCTACCTTCCGCAGAGGCCCCGAAGTTCTCGACTCCTCAATTGGGGCGAATTTTCACACACAACCGACCGAGGAACTCCAAAATACAGAAATACATTGCCCTTCAATTGTTTGCATACGCTTTTTGCCGTGGCAGTACGCAAAAGGAATAGGAAGGGAAAGTTGGAAAAACAATCCACTACGGTTAAAATATACTGGTTGCCTTGTGTTGACTTCACTAAAGGCCCTACCAGGCCTACACATATCATCTCCCAAGGCTCGACTGCCTTGGTCCTCTCTATCATACCCCCAGCTGGCTGTGAATTCTCAGCTTTCACCTGTTGACAAGTTTTACGCGCCCTAACATACTTTGCAATATCCAACTTCATCTTTGGCCAGCAGAACTTTTGTGAAACGCGCCCGAAAGTCTTCTTCTCACCCATATGGCCTGCTAACGGCTTATCGTGACATTGTCTCACCTCTACCGTCACGCCCTATTACTTTTTTCCTCTCTGGTGAATCACCGTACACAGAAGCAAATCTCGACCTGACAAAGGTCGCCACCTTCAACTCTCCACGCTGGATACCACAGAGGCTTTTTCTCTATCAGCCGGATCATCCTTGCCAACCAAGGGTGGGTAGTAGTCACCTCAGCAATAACTGGCACACTTCTGGAGAGCATATCCGGAACCACATTTTCCTTGCCTTTCCGATGCACTATATCGAAAATCGAAATCATATTGCTGGAGCTTCAAAGCCTATCTCGCTAACC